CAACACCCCAAAATTATTCAGATGTCCTTAGTTTAAACCACTAAGCATCAAACTGGAGTGCGCTCAGAGGATCCTAGTAACATCATAGCAACACTCAATTAAGCAATGCCCTTGAAAACAATCAGAACACTTTAGCAACACCTTAGCAACCATCCATATGGCAACACCCCAAAATCATTCAGGAATCCTTAGCTTAAACCACTATTCAACTAACTTTAAAGCTCTCAGAAGACCATCGTAACACCTTAGAAATGCACAGTAATCACTCTAGAATTGTTTTTGAAAACAAACAATCAGAACACCATAGCAACCCCTTAGCAACCATGTGGAAACACCCCAAAACCCTTTGGAAATCCTTAGCTTAAACCACTATTCAACTAACTTTAAAGCCCTCAGAAGACCCTAGTAACAGCTTAGCAAAACCCAATTATCACTCAAGAAATGTCTTTGAAAACAAACAATCAGAACACCATAGCAACACTTAGCTTAAACCTCTATTCAACTAACTTTCAAGTCCTCAGAAGACCCTAGTAACACCTTAGCAACACCCAATAATCACTCAATATATGGCCATGTAAACCATCAGAACACTCTAGAAACACCTTAGCAACCATGTGGCAACATCCCAAAATCATTCAGGTATCCTCGTAATGCCTTAGCAACCACATAACAACACCCCGAAATAACTCAAATATCCTTTAAAGCTGTAAGTAATGGCATCGTAACACTAAGCATAGACTTTGCAACCACATATTGACATTTCAAAATCACCCAGAAGCTCATAGCAACTGCATAGTAACACCCTAGCAACCACTTCGTATTATGCCACCAAATATTCTTTATTTTAAGCTCTTTAGAGAGGCAGCATGGTGGCTCAGTGGTAAGCACTGTCGCCTCACAGCAAGAAGGTCGCTGGAGTTTGCATGTTCTCCTTGCGTTGCCGTGGGTTTCCTCCAGGAGCTCCAGTTTCCCCCCACAGTCCAAACACATGTGCTATTGTGGAAACTAAATTGGCCATAGAGTATGGGTGTTTCCCAATACTGGTTTGCAGCTGGAAGGGCATCTGCTGCGTAAAACATATGCTGGAGAAGTTGGCGGTTCATTCAGCTGTGGCAGCCCCTGATTAATAAAGGGACTAAGCCGAAGGAAAATTATTGTTTGTTTGGCTTGTCAAGCTCAAGCTCAGTGCATTCTCATGCGGAGCTCCTTAAAGTAATGCAGCTGTATCTCCAACATTTATCAAAACTTCCGTGTGTGACTTTTTTCGAAGTCTGTGTTGATGTGTGTGTGTGTGTGTGCGCGCGCGCATTTCACACCGATCAACACCTTTCAGGTACAAGAGGAAGTTGTGGCACAAACACCTACAGCCCAGCATCAAAGCAAGTCCGACAAAGTTGCTGCATCTCAACTTACATCTCCACGCAGGGGTAAAAACAAATCGGAATAAGAGCAGGCGGTTAGAGTCAACTGTGGGCGCGCAGCAAAGCCACACATCTGGTCCGACAGGTTCTGAGGGAGAAGCTCACACTTGCTCTACTGTCAGTTCAGTTACATGAGTCAGTCACTCAACACACACACACAAACACTTGCTCACACACACACACACACACACACACACACCTGCGATCTCATTGCGTATGAGAAGTTGAAAGTGCTTGCTGTGAGAACGGAGTAGGATAGGGGATAGTTTTGATAAGGAGATGTGATAGTTGTGTCTCTGTATAGTCGTATATCAGCCATCTGATTCTTGAGGTGTAAACAAAGGGAGATACCCAGATCGCAGACCTTCACTGAATTAACTTTGAATCAACAGTCCAAACTTCCTTACCTTAGATAATTGTGTGCTCACACTGTAAACAACATCCCTAAACTAGCACTTTTCTGTATTTTGTGATTCATGCTTGTATTTCCTCCACATTTATTTACTGCATTATGGGATCTTGGTCATTCACCGCACAACTTCATCATTCATTTTTCTTCGCCTTAAGCCTGGTCTATACTTCAGTGCCGCATTTGACACTGTCGATCACAGCATACTTCTGGATAGGCTGGAAAACAGGGTTGGCACGGTCCTCAAATGGTTCAGATCTTACCTTGAAGGTAGAGGTTACCATGTCAGTATAGGTGACCATAGGTCGAGGTGGACACCCATGACATGTGGAGTCCCACAAGGCTCGATTCTGGCACCTCTCCTGTTCAAACTTTACATGCTCCCTCTGAGCCAAATAATGAGAAAGAACCAAATCTCCTACCACAGCATGAGATCCTCTCATTACTGCCCCCTTCTTCACATAAATGTTCATTCAATAAATCTTAAGCTATTTTTATAAAACCTAATATATTTATAAACAGGTGAAGTCTGAATTATACGCCCGTCCGTATATTTTTCCCCCAATTTTTGTTTAATGGAAAGATTTTGTAAACATTTCTAAACGTAATAGTTTTAATAACTCATTTCTAATAACTGATCTATTTTATCTTATATTTAGGAAATACTGTGGAAATTTTCGTTAAATATTACTTGATAAATACTTTAAAAAGACTAAATATTACATAGAAGAGCTAATAATTTCTCAACTGTAAATATATAAAGGAAAAAAATATATATATATGTGAAGGTTTTGTCTTGTTTCTTGTCTAAATGACACTCAGATCTTCTTAGCCTTACTGCTTAATGACTACAGCCCCATTGACACCCTTTGCCAGTGCATTGATGAAATTAACAAGTGGATGCACCAAAATTTTCTTCAGTTAAACAAAGAGAAAACTGAAGTCATTGCGTTTGGGAACAGAGATGAGGTTCTCAAGGTGAATGCGTACCTTGGCTTTAAGGTTTAAACAACAAAAAATAAGGTCAAGAATCTTGGTGTGATTCTGGAGTCAGATCTGAGTTTCAATAGTCATGTCAAAACAGTTAGTAAATCAGCATACTATCATCTCAAAAACCTTGCACGAATTAGATGCTTTGTTTCTAGACTTAGAGAAACTTGTTCATGCTTTTATCAGCAGCAGAGTGGATTACTGTAACGGCCTCCTCACTGGCTTTCCCAAAAAGACAGTCAGACAGTTACAGCTCATCCAGAATGCTGCAGCCAGGATTCTGACCAGAACCAGAAAATCAGAGCACATCACACCTGTCCTCATGTCTTTACACTGGCTCCCAGTTACATTCAGAATACAGTTTAAAGTATTATTACTGATCTATAAATCACTAAATGGCCTAGGAGCTCAATACACTGCAGATATGCTCACTGAATACAAACCCAACAGATCACTCAGATCTCTAGGATCAAATAAACTAGAAATTCCAAGAGTTCAGTCAAAGCAGGGTGAATCGGCCTTTAGCTACTAACAGCGCTCCTCACTGCTGGAATCAGCTTCCAGAAATGATCAGATGTGCTCCAACATTAGGCACATTCAAATCAAGACTGACAACACATCTGTTTAGCTGTGCCTTTACTGAATGAGCACTGTGCTGCGTCCGACAGATCACTCTATTGTGTTTTTCTCTTCTCTTTCATACTTTTATTACACATTTTATTTGTTTTTATGTTTTTTTTTAATCATTTTTAATTTGTTTTTATTTTTCTTATACTTGCTTCTTTTATTCATGTTTATGTAAAGCACTTTAAATTGCCACCGTGTATGAAATGTGCTATATAAATAAACTTGACTTGCCTTGCATTCTGCGTCGAGTGATCGGCGTGACCCACGGTACATGCCCATCTAGTACCACCTTAATGTATTGTAATACAGTAGCATAGCAGGCCTAACTAAACAGCTACAGCTCTTCACAGTTTAAAATGGGGCAGATTTATTCCTATTATTAAGAATTTGTATGATTGTCAGCCACTTTAAACATAAGTTTAAACATTAACTGTTCTTGCAGACAAAAAAAAAAACTTCTCCATTTAAATTAAAATGTGCTGTTAAAAGTTAATTACAAGTGGCACTGTTCTTAAAAAGCAAAAAGGAAACTGCTGTAGTTGTAAAGTATTAATCTATTCATCAAAACCTGGAAAACCTGGTTAAAAGTGTGTTCATTTTATTCTTTTATTATTCAGTGAGTCTTCCGCGTACCACTAGAAGGAGACCCTTGTACCACTAGTGGTACACATACCACAGTTTGAGAACCACTGCCTTAAATAATTATATGAGGATGCACACTTAATATTTTTAACTTTTGGACTGTTTATGCAACGTTAAACTGATAGTTTAACCAAAAAAAATACAGTTATTAACTATTTACTCTCGCTGAAGTAGTTTCAAACCTTCACGAGTTTCTTCTGATGAACACAAATGGAAAAACCAAGTGTATAAATCTATAAAAAAGCAAGTTCCATGGCAGGAAAAACAACTACAATAGAAGTCAATAGTTTTAGGGTTTTAGCTTTCTTCATAAAAACAAACAAACTTCTTTTGTGTTCATTAAAAGAAACTGTTTGGGTCCAGAAAAAGTGAGCAAACGATGACAGTATTTTGAATTTTAAGTGAACTATCCCTTTAAGGTCTGCTATTTGGGTATACATGCTAACTTTACAACAACAACAAAAAAAGAAAAAGATATGAATAAAACATTGCAACCGACAGCAAACTATATTAATAATAAAGTAGTGTGGCTATTAAAAAAAGAAAGGAAAAGCACAGGGTCAATATTCTCTTTGTTTAACTCTACTCAACAGTCCCGTCACTTCTTCTGAAACCGCATTGACAGTTTCACTGTGGCGGATTTAAATATGAAAAGAGCCAAGCGGAAACTTCACACGCTTTACTGTTGTCCTGTCACGCCAATTTGCCAGATAAGCATGCTTACGAAAAGAGGGAGAACTGTCTGTTTAGAGCGAACGACAAAAACAAACATGCAAAGAGTAATCCAGGTAGGACAGGTGTTCAGGGGGGTTTCGTATGGCACAAACAGCCTCCTTTTTTTTCCAAGGAAAGGCTTCAGTTGACCTTCTTTTTCTAACCCCGATGTTTAGCTTAATGACGACCACTCTTTCTGTGAGCATTGCTGACATTTATTTTAAAAAGGAATCTTTATACACATGAATTGGCCATTTTTCGACACGCCTCACTGGCAGGGCATGCGTGTAGTGAAGTGTACAACTCTACAAATCGTAAAAATGGACAGTCTCGGTCAACACAATTCAAGAGTGTTGAGTTTTTATTCCTACAGCTTTAAAACCAATATTACACATATCAAAGCATATCGATCCCATAGCCTAACCACTATATTATTGAAAACAAAACAAAAAAGAACCCTTTATAAAAGCTTAACACATCTTTTTTTTTTCTTAAAAAGTGGGAACCAAACACCATAATTGTACCAATATTTACAAATCCCATTAAATTACAACATAAATTAGAAATTATTTACATTTGGGGAAAGACAAATGGAACATTTAACTTCTGTATGTGAAGGCAACGAACAGATGAACAGACTCATACACACACACGCGCACACACACACACGCACACACACACACCTAATAAGCGTATGATATTTGATCATGTTAACTTAATCATCAGGGTCTTTTAAATTGTTCCTAGCTGATTGAGATGGAAGATGTCTCATTTGTGACCCCAAAAATACCACAAAACTAGTCATAAGTGTACATTTGAGGAAATTGAGACGTATACGTCATCTGAAAACTTAATAAGCTTTCGGTTGATGTATGGTTTGTTATGATAGGACAATATTTGGTCGAGACACAACTGTTTGTAAATCTCCAATGTGAGGGTTAAAAAAAAATTATATTCAGAAAATCCCCATTAAAGTTGTCCAAATGAAGTTATCAGCAATGCACATTTCTAAGTGAAGATTAGGTTTTGATAGATTTATAGAAATAAACCTACAAAATGTCTTTGTGAAACATTTAAGACTGAGTAATGTTCACTTATGTTCTTAAAGATTTTGGCACTAAATATTGCTGACCTATACATTGCATTTCTTCGATTTACAAAAAGAAAGCTGTGCAACTCAAGACTGGCTTTGTAAAAAATCCAGATAAACAAATGGTAAAAATCCACTGATATCAGGAATATAGGTCTTAGAAAATTTAGATGTATTTGTCATCTGAAAACCGAATAAATACGCTTTTCTTTGATGTATGGTTTGTAAAAATGGGAAAATATTTTGCAGAGATACAATGTGTAATGTGAGGGTTAAAAAACATCTAAATATTGAACAAAATCACTTTTAAAGTTGCCCAAATCAAGTTATCCGCAATGCAAATTACTAAAGAAATATTAGGGTTTGATAGATTTATAGAAATAAACCTACAAAAGGTCTTCGTGAAACATAGAAGATTAAGTGATGTTCACTTAATATCCTAAAGATTTTGGCACAAGATAAAATGTTGACCTACACGATGCATTTCTCCGATTCACAAAAAGAAACCTGTGCAACTTAAAGGTTCAGGACACACTGGAGAACTTTTTTTTATATTAACAAATTTTGTGTGTTGAGCATCAGTTAAGACAATGTTAGCAGCAGTCAGCTTTAATTGTGGGGAAAACTGAATAATTTTGAGCTTTTGTCAGCTAATTTCAGCTTCCGGGTTTAAAATGATTTTTGGGGCGGGATCAAAATCGGCGACGTAGCGGTTTCTCATTATTATTCATAGCCGAGTTTTCTTATCCTATAAGAAGAGCCGGCTGCTTAATTATTCATGAGACCTGCCAGACCTGCCAGAGTCGAGCCCGAGCTGTGAGACACGGACCCAAGCACACAGTTTTTAGCCATTCATGAAGGCTCATATGCGTTTGTTTCCATGATCCACGGGGTTTGTTGCATGTTTTCCCCCGCGATCTTGTCAGGGCCGATCATACAGCAAAGCTGTTTGTGTGCTGCAAGCATTTTTGTCGGGAGAGCAGCACGAGAATTAGAGAATGGCGGACGCTGTCTTTTATCAGGGGTTCATTCACATTCAGACACATCGCCGTGCTGCTGTGCTTGCCTAAATCCTCCAGATTACCAGCAGGGCTAACGGTTAAAATAGACGGGTCAGGAGACCTGCTGCACTGAGTCTGCTGGATACGGGGATTGAGGGAGAAGTCCTCATTTATAGTGTTTACATGAACACACTTATCTTTATAATGATATAAACTGTGGTTATCTGTATATGAAATTACGAAAAACAAATGTAGCAGGGCATTAAATCACTGTTCATTTCTTTGCATTTTAACTTTGTAAACTATAAACTCATGCGTCTCCTCACGGTTTGTCTCATTTTGTGAGCTAGCTTTGTTCGCTCCCCTTCTCCCCTGCTGGCCACGCCCACTCCTGCCCGATGCTCGCGGAGCTCCACGCCCATTAATCATGCATCTTTTGAAAAAATTCTGAAGTAGACTTTAACCGAAAGTGGGGGGTGTCATGGCCCTTTAAGACTGGTTTCTGAAAAATCCAGAGTCACAAATGGTAAAATTCCACTGATATTGTAAATTTAGAGCTTAGAAAATTGAGATGTATCCATCATCTGAAAACCAAATAAATGAGCTTTCCGTTGGTGTATAGTTTTTTTTCCTGGGACAATATTTGGTCGAGAGAAATGAGGGTTAAAAAAATCTAAATATTCAGAAAAATCACCTTTAAAGTTGTCCAAATGAAGTTATCAGCAATGCACATTACTAAACAAAAATTAGGTTTTGATAGATTTATAGAAATAAACCTACAAAATGTCTTTGTGAAACATGGAAGATTAAGTAATGTTCACTTAATATCTTAAAGATTTTGGCACTAAATAAAATGTTGACCTACACGATGCATTTTTGCCATCAACAAAAAGAAACCTGTGCAACTCAAGACTAAAGGTTTTGGGATCCAGGGTGACAAATAGTAAAAATCCACTGATGTTGTGAATATAGGGCTTAGTAATCATGTAAATACATGCACACACACATACAAACAACCACTCATGCCGACAACACACCCACAAACAGAAGAACAATAACACTGTGTCCAATGAAGCGTATAATGTCTCAAAAACATATAATCACATCCTTGATAAGTCCATTAGGAGGTCAGCACCAAGGAGGAGGACACAGAGAAACCCAGCTTCCTCCTCCCAGATCGGTAGTGAAAGAAAAACATTGTTAAAATCCACGTCAGCTCTTGAAATGGTGTCTTTGGGGAAACTCGACAACTTCCTCGTTTTTTGCAGTTCCCCCCTCGGAGAGACAACTTCCTGATGAGCATCTGAGTCGGGATTGGCCGATAAACAACTCTAAGGCTAACCATTGAAATGTGTGTCTTTGTGGAGGAGAAAGTGCTGGAAGACCAAGACTCGACGTTAAACCTTGACGTCGGAACAAATAAAGCAGAACGGAAACAAATTCGACAACTACTACAACAACGACGACAGATCTGGTAAAAACGTAGTTCTGCTACAAAAACGGTTATTGCGCTCGAATGGTCCCAATCCAAATTCCATCAAGTCTCACTTTCGGTGTTTGTCCATCTTGTCTGCTTTATTGGTACCATCGGAAGAGGCTTGTGAGGAGTCTCCGGTCGAACTCACGTACATTTTGTCCACCTGTTTGAGCGCCTCGTTGAGGTAGTTTTGCAGCGAGGTCATGGCCGCACAGATAGCCGGAGAACCAAATCCATGGGTGATGAGGCTGAAGTGAGTCAGGCAGCTTTGAATCCCGGGCTCCAGAATGGGAGCCGGCCTAGAGTTTCCCAGAGGAGATCGGTCCTGAGTCAGCAAGTCGGTGAACTCCTTGCAGATTTGCCTGAAAGATTAGATGACCAGTTAAAGTATTAAAGCATAAAGCATGAGATTTCAGAAGGCTTTCTCACAGCGACTCGAGTAGGCAGAGACACCCTTAAGAGCAGGGGACTTGTTGCCAGACGGATGACTTCTTAATAGCTCCATCAAAATGGGATTGGTCACTCAAATCTTCAGGGTGTGGTTAACATTAACTAGATTTGAACTTAAACCTGCGTCGGGAAGTCTCGTTTCTTCTGGATTTCGTTTGGGATGACTAAGACTACATCCACCTGGGGCAAGAACTTTCCCTATCCAAAAGTTCTATAGAAATGTCCATGTAGAATCAAAATTCACAATGTTTATTTTAGCTAGCACACATTGTAAATAATAATAATATTAATAATAATTATAATTATAATACACCCCCATTTTTTGGGGGGAATTCCCCCAAATTCACAACCAGTGTGCAGCATCCACCTGGATGGCGTGACAGCAGCCATATTGGGCCAGACCGCATACCACACACCAGCTGATTGGTGGAGAGGAGACAGAAGCTGCGTCCCAAATGGCACACTATATACTATGCACTCATACACTATGTACTTATGCACTTACACACTCAACAGTATAGTATATGTATGTAGTGTCGTCCCAAATGGCACACTAATAGTTTTTTACTACGCGGAAATTCAAACCGTTAATGACGTTTGACGGTTGCCAAATCAGTGAGATAAACGACCGAATTATCAAATAATACCTGCCGTGAGTGTAGCTGCATTCACCATCGGGAGGCGCTATAATCACTTTCGTAGGAGAATTTTGCTTTCACCATCCAACGGCGCTCACTGAGCAGTATAGAGTCCCCATCAATATACTGGGGCGTTGGGACAAACACAGACCGCAGGTTGAGCGCCCCTGATGGTCTTACTACAGCCTGATCTCCCGAGAAAATTTAAGTATTTTACGTTTTACCAGTTTAGTGGCTAATTTGTACGAATTCGTATGAGTTCAGTCGTATGAAATTGTGCGATTTTAAAAAGAAGGCGTGGCACCTAACCCCACTCCTAAACCCAACCTTCATTGGGGGATGAGCAAGTCGTACTAAATTGTATGAATAAGATCATACATAGAATTCATACGAATTAGCCACTAAATCAAAAAGTTACGAATTGCCGTGAGATTGTGTTGCTCACTAACACCATTTCCGGCAGCAACTTTGCTTTCCCATGTGGTCTCCCATCCAGGTACAGACTGGGTGCAGCCCTGCTTAGTTTCAGTGGGCATTGTAGAAACATTGTTATCGCTTGGGTGACGAATTAATCAGCACAATTTAATCCACTAAAAAAAAAAAAAAAACTGTTTTGGTAATCTTTAATCAAGGTCTGACCATTTACTTCTGTGTTTGGAGTGGATGCATTATCTGTTGACCTCAATCTGAGGGCTTCCATAGCAACTGTATATTAATATTATTAGCCACGCCCCCCCATACTGATAATTTACTATGAGGGAATGATCCGTAAAATAAAAAGCCTGCCCATTACTCAATATTTCAAAGTAGATCAACTGACTGAAATAAAAGTCTTCAAACAATTCTTAATGGTCACTAGTGGTTTATTACCTGCTGTTTATTAGGATACTGGTTGTTTTTTAGTACTTAAAAAGACATATTCTGCATGAATATGAATATTCTGCCTACCCTAAACCCAATCGGTTTGTTAATTGAGGCAAAGGTCACAATAAATAATTTGTTAATAGAGAGAATTGTACCTTGCAATAAAGTGAGGCCGACAATTCGGTAAACGCAGTCATCACAAAAAATATCTGCGCACACGTGACCAGTATGTCAGACTAGAAATGGAATAATTCTGCCACAGAGATGCACAAAAATAATTGATGCACAAAAAACGCTTCTCGGGTATGGATGCATGAATGTAGTCCGCCATTGTTGTAGTTTCTATGTGAAATAGCAGTGTCTGATTTGAGTCAAGAGAAGGGCTTATGGCAATGATCACAAAATATATAGTCTGGCCGCTCTTGCAAAAATGCAAGGGCATAATATTAAGATACAATAACTCTTGAATCCATTTTAATAAATATAGTGGTTTCGCTCTCCCATTCGCTTATTTCACGTGGCCGCCATTTTAAAGAACCAAAGCGAGGCTGCGGTGGGAAGAAACCCGGAAGTATAGGAGTAACTGTAAACATTGCAGCAACATGCTGTGCACTACAAACCTCCAGCTGTTGCTGAGATATTTAAAATGCAGAAATGGTGTAAACATCACTTTAATATTATACAGCAAGTTTAATTTAAACAATTAAAAGCAAATTAGGCATCAAACAACATCGTAATCTTTGTAAGAGTAATATCCCTAGTAGCAAAGAATTCTGGCCCAGATTTGGCAAAAAGCTGGCACAGCAGGCATTCATCCGGCACTGGCATACAGCATGTGGGCCAAACATGGCCCGGGTTTGGCAGAGGTGGCACCGTTTTTAAGGCGGCACACAAGATTTGGGCCAGATGAAAAACGTAGTATTTGGCCCAGATTTAAAAATTTGATAAGTGGGCCATGTGAGTTTGGCCAGTCTTGACCCACATTTAAAATACACTAAAATCATTTTTTTTAAAAAGAAAAAAAATTCTACCAATCAGGTCACTTTGAGAAAAAGCGTGCCCATAGTGTGCCTAAAGCGCATCACTCCATGGGTTTATCAATTTCATTGCAATCGTGACACACCAACCTATCTGGCCCAGTTCAGGCCCAGTTATGAGTTATTAACTTGGCTGAGACTTGGCCCAGATATGGTCCGTGTTTTGCCCTTGTCTGTAAGCCAGATTTGGTCCAGTCATGTACCGTAATTCACTGCGGCATGTGGGCCAAGCAAAACCTGATTGTGTGGGCCAGAGCTGGGCCAGAGAAATTTTGCTATGTGGGATGCTCAAGTGTCCTCCAAGGCTTCACTTCTTGGCACCAGTTAAACACCGTGGGGACGCTTTCCTGCTTCAGCCTATGTAACCCGGTGAGTGATAAAACACTGCAGTGCTCTGTAGCACACCCTCGTGTTGTCTGTAATAGTGTTGTCCCAGTACTGAAGTTTTAAAAGCGGCTAACATTGAAGCGCTGCTGAGTGCGGATGACTCGACTGATCTTCACGGCTGCTTCGCGCTTCAGTCTCCGTGTATCTGTGTTTGCACTCAGTTTACAGCTCTTCACCCAGTGCAAACACAGATACACAGAGACTGGAGCGCGACGCAGCCGTGAAGATGTTGAGTCATCAAGCAGATCGCTCTTCTGTCTGTGTTTGTGCTCAGTAAACAGCGGTGGGTGAACTGATGACCTTCTCGGCCAATCACAAGCATTTCTGTTGAGCACGTGAACACAATGGCAAATCAGCGCTGTTTCAAGAACGCCATCCAAAGTGCCTTAAATGTAAGCAGGAAATTGCCGTTTTTTCTTTTAATTCAGTATCGTGACGAGTCTAATATAGAGAAAGAATCCGTTTATTAACTCGAGTTTGATAAATGGCATCTAAAACGTGTGTTTGGGAAAGAAAACGTTAGCTAACTAGTGCCATTTCCCTTAACTTAGCTGAAAATGAGCTCTGATATCCCTTTTATTTTCACTATTTATTCAGAACGGACCTTCGGGTCACTCGGAAGGCGGTGGAATAATACATTTGTGTCACTTTATCTTCTCTGATAAAATATACAGCCAGGTACACAACATTCCCAACGATACTTCCGAGTTTCTTCCCACAGCAGCCCTGACTTGCTTTTAAAAATGGCGGCCGCGTGAAATCTATTGGTTTCATCGAGATGAAATACCTATATTAGGACAATAAATTGATGCATTGCGAATCGTGAAATGCTGAAATGAATTGATTTGCTATTGAAAACTAACCTCGAAATCCATTCCAGAAAGGATCAAGATGTATTCCAAAGATCTAAGAATCAATCCAGGAGTCACAAGACATCAATTTCCAGTCCCATCCCTAACTTACATGGTACGAAATTGTATTGTATAAAGCTAAATGCATCTCTTCATATGGACAAGAGCTGAAATACACTCACAAAATTGTTTAAGCAAAGGTAAATTTGACCCCACCTTCAAGGGTTTATGTGAAATGATAGGAACAAAGTATATTTTACTCACTTGGCTGCCAACAGCATGGTTTTGCGAGAGTTGATCTCATTGCGTTCCACATGTGGTCGGCCAAGATATTCAGCAATGGCCTTCGCGGGAAACTCCGTTTCACAGACATACCCAAAATCCCTGGCCAGGTGTACGGCCTCACCTGTAGACAGGATCAGATGGGAATCAGGTGACTCACGATGAACCACATGACTGAGTCACTGTCGGATCCAAACCCTCAGTTTTGCGAGTGACTCAAAATAGCATCATATCTCCTCTCTAAGCTACGATGAATTCAGATGAATAGACTCTGTATTGTGGATAGCGGTGGTCACACTGCATGTCTTTTAATGAGCCTTCATGGCTGAAGGCATCTAACGGTCCCCTAGACCCAACAGGCTCTTATTGATAGACTAGCACATTATTCACAGTCGTCGTCTTTAAGGTCAGTCTCTCCTCTCGGCTAGCGAACATGTGATAACAAGCCCTAATTCAGCTTTGAAGGTCTGTAAATAACTACGCCTTCTAGTCATGTTCCTGCTTCAGACCCATGCTCCCATTAGTGGTGAGAATGGTGACATTAAAAGAGAAAGCTAAAAGTATTCAACATCGCTCCTGGTGTTAGTTAACTCGTGATCTTTGCGCTAATGTCTCCGTGACTCATTGGTTAGCTATACTCAGGCGAAAAGGTAAAAGTGGAGATGAAATGTCAAGAAATTACAGATCACTTGCATGCACAAATGAGACTCCGCTGCCAATGCATGGGAAGCGCTAACATGCTTGACCTTTGCGTGCTGTCGGGAAGTATATTAGTTCTCTCTGGAAGCTTGAGAGAAAACTATTTTGTAGATATACTGAATCTCGAAACATAAACACTGGGAGGATCAGTTAACGGTAACACTTTACAATAAGGTTCATTAGTTAATGCGTTTACTAACATGAGCTAATCATGAACAACACATGTACAGCATTTATTAATCATAATTGAACATTTACTAATGCATTATTAACATCCAAGTCCATGCTTGTTAACATTAGTTAATGCACCATGAGTTAACATGAACTAACAATGAACTACTGTATTTTCATTAACTAACGTTAACTAACATGAACAAATATTGTAGTAAATGTATTGTTCATTGTTTGTTCATGTTAGTAAATGCATTAATTAACATTAACTAATGAACCTTATTGTAGAGTGTGACCCAGTTAACTATGATGTTGGGAGTAATTTAAACCAATTTAAATCTAATTTACACCAAAAAAATAATGGGTTGTGTTAACCCAATGTTGCGTCAGAAATGGATGAACCCAACATTTGGTTAATTTTTTACAATCAAATTGAAATGACATTAACCTCATTGGTTCTGATTTTCCATAACTGATCGATTTTGGGTTACAACAGCCAAGTATTTAACTCCAAAAAAATAATATTTACTTTGGTTGGGTTTTTCCATCAACCAAGCATTTGTTTTAAAGCAGTGGTTCTCAACTGGTTTGCCTATGGGACCCACATTTTCACATGGTCATCAAGCCGCGACCCAAATTTTTAGGAACTACAATATAATTTTAGGAATTATAATTTATTTGTATTTATTTGTTAACCTACACAACTAGTGACAAATAAATCAAAAGAAAATCACCAAGACTTACAAATAAACTATATTTTACTGCTGTCATTTAACAAAATCTATCAAATTATAGAAATATTACAGAGTAAAAACGTCAAATACTGTACACAGTGGTTAGGGTAAGGAAAAGCTAAGTTACCATTAACTAAACTGAACTGTTAACAAAACATTAACACTGATCTGGTTGAACTGAGCAGAAACCAGCAAATTAAAGTAAAATTATTAAAATAATCACAACCATTTTTATAACAATCACCAGTTGTTTGCTCTTCTGGTGTTGTGTGGGCTTTCTTGGTCTTTGCTACACGGTGAGCACAGTACGATGCGTGGAGTGCCTGTAGTTGTTTTGAACATGAAGATGTTCGGCACTTTTGAGATGCCCTCAGCTATTAGAGTTGTCTCTGAAAATAGTCCACAGGTTTGTCCTTGCAACTGGGATGTTTGGTTTCTAAATTTCGTTTTAATTTAGCAGGTTTCATGCTCTCTTGTGAGAGCACCTCACTACATATGACACACTGAGGTTTTAAGCCTTTTTTGTCGTCAATATAAGTAAATCCATATTTTACATATCCGGGGTTGTACTTGCGCTGAAATTTCACTTGTCAAACAGTACGGTTGTCCCACGTGCATTTCAAAATAAAAGTCCGATATAAGCGAAATAAATTAAAAATCAAACTTTTGTTGTTTTTTGATCACACAAAATGTTCCTGCGACCCACTTTTGGGTCACGACCCACCAGTTGAGAAACACTGTTTTACAGTATAACATTTTGACTGTTCAAACTGTAAACTGGAGCAAACACATGGGTAAAATTATGTTATAATTTAAACCAATGTAAATCTGAACTAAACTCTAAAAAAATAATTGTGTGTATTAACCCAATTTAGCGTTAGAAATGGACAAACCCAACATTAGGTTTATTTTTTCAATCAAATTGGAGTGACTTTTAACTCAACAGTTCTGTTTTCCATAATTGACCAACTTTGGGTTACAGCAACCAAGCTTTGTTTTTTTTTTTTTTAGTTTTTTTTTTTTACTTTTTAACATCAAGAATTGAACCGTTCAAACTGTAAACTGGAGCAAACACATGGGCAAAATCATGTTGTAATTTAAACCAATGTAAATCTAATCTACACTCTAAAATATAATGGCTTGCGTTAACCCAACATTGCATTAAAATGGACAAACCCAACATTAGGTTAATTTTTTCAATCAGATTGCAATGACTTTTAACTTAATGGTTCTGTTTTTCCATAATTGACCAACTTTGGGTTACAGCAACCAAGCTTTGTTGTAGAGTATAATATTTCAACATTAAGAACTGAACCGTTCATACTGTAAACTGGAGCAAACACATGGGCAAAATCATGTTGTAATTTAATCCAATGCAAACCTAATCTGCACTATATAAAAATATTGATGATTTTCTCAATTAAATTAGACATTTTTTTTAACTCAACGGTTGGATTTTCCTATCAACCCAGCATTTGTTTTAGAGTATAGATCAAGCATTGAACTGTTCCCCAGGAACTGCTCGCCCAACTGAGCCTGGTTTCCCTCCAGGTTTGTTTCCTTCATTTTCGTCAATAGATGAAGTTTGCTCCTCGCCACTGTCGCCACTGGCTTGGTTCGGGGCTTGTGGAGCTGCGCATTGATGGATTTGCTCTTCAGTGTTTGAACTTTCAGCAGTGAAAATGAAACCACACTGAACTGAACTAAACTGAACTTCAACTCTATAAACTGAACTGACACTGTTTCAATTTACTAGAACTTCTATGTTAAGCTGCTTTGGCAAAATCTACATTATAAAAAGCGCTAGAGAAATAAAGATGAATTGAATTAAACTGTTCGAACTGTAAACTGGAGCCAGAACATTGGCAAAACCATGTTGTACATTACAGTTTAACATTTTGAGTCTAGAACTTCATAACATACTCCACAGATTATCCAGTAGCACTGGTCAAACTCTTGGCATACACAATAAAACTCACACGGGTGGTTAACAACGGGTAAAAACTGGTTGAAAAGTGCTTACCTTCTACCAATGCAGTCAGTAATGTGACGTTAGCAGCCTTTCTGCGACCCGCCGGCAAGTTCAACCCAATTTTATCCAGCTTCTCCCTCAAGGATCGACCACCGTTCTTTGATTTTGCCCTTTGTAATAAAAGAAATGATATGTAAGCACACTGAAAACAGTACATTTGATTATTGACCTTATGCTAAACCTGTCCTATAGTCAATGAGTTGCTAATAGCGAAAAATGTACCTTAAAAAAGTGAGACTAATAACTCTGTAAACGCAGTCATCACAAAAAATATCTGTGCTCACATGAAACTACTGACCACCATGTCAGACCAGTAATGCAGTAATTCTGCCACAGAGACGCCCCAAAAATATTGATTCCTTATACTAAACCTGCCTTAGATGTTCTCCCAACCAGGGGTGCAGTATTTCATCACGATTATTAAGAAAACCCAATTGGAAGTGCAACGCAAGGACTGCAACGCACCCAAAAATTCTGTTACATGTCATTACAACCACCTAAGGCCTTTATTCATTATTTGAACACAAATTAAGATATTTTAGATTAAACGCGAGAGCTCTCTCATCCTCCTTAGACACCAAGAGTCCAGAAAATGAACCGAAAACATCACACGTTACTTCAGTGGTTCAACTGCAAACCTACGAAGCTGCAAGAACATTTCGTACATCAAAATTTTGGTTTAGTCTCTTTATTAATCAGGGGTCGCTACAGCGGAATGAGCTGCCAACTTACCCAGCTTATGTTTTACACAGCGGATGCCCTTTCAAGCCACAACCCAGTAATGGGAAACACCCAAATACACTGATTCACACACATACACCTCGGCCAATTTAGCTTATTCAATTCACTTATAGCGCATGTGTTTAGACTGTGGGTAAAACCGGAGCCCCTGGAGAAAACCCATGCCAACACGGGGAGAACATGCAAACTCCACACAGAAATGACAAATTGTTTAGCCAGGACACAAACCAGCAACCCTCTTGCTGTAAAGTGACAGTGATAACCATGAGCCCCCGTGCCACCTCTACTTTTCATATACTCTAAATTATTAAGGATTAGTACCCAGAAATGAAAATTCTGTAACTAATTGATTACAATCATGTCATTTCAATCACCTAAGGCCTTCCTTCATCTTTTGAACACAAATTAAGACATTTATGATGAAATCTGAGAGCTCTCTCATCCTTCATAGACAGTTAAGGCTCCCAATAAGTCCAGAAAGGGAACCAATAAACCTCACACGTTAATTCAGTGGTTCAACTGTAATCATGTGGAGCTGCAAGAACAATTTTGTACACCAAATTGTTTTAAAAATGACTCTGTTTGCTATCTTTTCTATTGCATCAGGGTGCATGATTACTATGGCTGGAAGGGCATCCGCTGCTTAAAAACTTGCTGGATAAGTTGGCGGTTCATTCCGCTGAGGCGACCCCAGATTAATAAAGGGACTAAGTCGACAAGAAAATGAATAAATGAATAAAAATGCACACCCTGATTGATTGTGGAAGAACAAAGCCATTTTAGCCCGCAAACGTGTTCTTGGAGCTTCATATGATTACAATTGAACCACTGAAGTCACGCTAAATATTTGGATAATGTTTCTGTTTCCTTTGAGCACCTCAAGACCCTTGCTGTCTATGAAGGATGCTAGAAAGTCGTCTAAAATATCTTAGTTTGTGTTCTGAAGATGAACAAAAGTCTTGGGATACTGGAATGGCATTATATTTAGTGGCGAGGCAGTGGCGCAGTAGGTAGTGCTGTCGCCTCACAGCAAGAAGGTCGCTGGTTCGAACCTCGGCTCAGTTGGCGTTTCTTTGTGGAGTTTGCATGTTCTCCCTGCCTTCGCGTGGATTTCCTCCACAGTCCAAAGACATGCGGTACAGGTGAATTGGGTAGGCTAAATTGTCCGCAGTGTATGAGTGTGTGTGTGATTGTGTGTGTGGATGTTTCCCAGAGATGGGTTGCGGCTGGAAGGGCATCCGCTGTGTAAAAACTTGCTGGATAAGTTGGCGGTTCATTCCGCTGTGGCGACCCCGAATTAATAAAGGGAGTAAACCGACAAGAAAATGAATGAATGAATTATATCTAGTTATTTTTTATTATGTAAATAAGCATAAACATTTCACAGAAATCACTTAATTGTAATGAAAGGTTCAACTTTCCTAAAAGGTTGTCTGAAATACCCAAGAGGGCAAAGCCTCGGTTATTGCAGGTGAAACACATGGATTCCATTTGTTTTGTTTCTGTTATGCGAGTACAAAGAGGTCTTGGACCCAGATCCACATGAATAAACAGCCTCATGAAATAAATGATGTCACAGCTCAAGTGTTTAAAATGCAGCGTAACAAACACGCATAAAAGTGCGGACAAAATCTCCACTTGTTGTTCTGGCCTCTGCGATATGCATGACTAGATTTGTGGCCTGGCATCACCCTTCACTTGTGGGGTAAAATACGGTTAGCAGGAGGCATGAGTAAGTGCCCTCTTTTCCGTCTGACACCCCCACACCCACCCCTTTTCCTAACGCTTGTGCTATATGACCTACTTAACAAATATCAGCGTGTTTGCGTCAGGCACATGGGAACAGAACAATATTCCCAGTAGTAAAGGCCAATGAGATTAGGTTGTGTCTATTGCATTCCCCCCATCACCCCCTCCCCATCATTGATCCCAGCATTACTGGCTGGCATATGGGTCAAAGTGTCAACTGTTGTAATGAAATTAATAACAGAATCAGCTAATCCCTACGCACACAAATGGAGCTCAGTGGTACCAAACATGAACCTGCACAGATGCATAAACAAACACAGATAATCTGACTCTTTATTTACACTGAGTGCTGAATGCATATGCTCGAAATCTCAGAATACATCAGATTTTGCCCCAAATTCACAAATTAAAACAAAGTGAGTAAAAAAAAAGCTGTAACTGGGGCAGTGCGCTTTAAAAAGGTACATATTTGCAACTAAATGCTCCATATTGATGCACATTAGCACATAAATAGTACAATAGTATATATTTTTGAAGGTTTTAGGTGCCTAATATGTGGGTAGTAGACAACCAGGTAGTAAATATATTTAAAATTTTATTTATGAAATTAATATTAAATTATAATATATGATTTTTGGAAAAACATTTGTTATATTTATATAATTTAAAGTCTGATGTTCCAACTCTCACTAGGGTTAACCCTAACCCGAAGTCTAGCCCTAACTATTTATTTCTTTATTTTTCTTCCCCCTGACTTATGAATGAGGCTTGACTGTGTATATTATATTATATTATATTATATTATATTATATTATATTATATTATATTATATTATATTATATTATATTATATTATATTATATTACATTATATCCTATTATTATTGTATTATATTATATTATATTATATTATATTATATTATATTATATTATATTATATCATATTATTATTGTATTATATTATATTATATTATATTATATTATATTATATTATATTATATTACATTATATCATATTATTATTGTATTATATTATATTATATTATATTATATTACATTATATCATATTATTATTGTATTATATTATATTATATTATATTATATTACATTATATCATATTATTATTGTATTATATTATATTATATTATATTATATTATATTATATTATATTATATTATATTACATTATATTATATTATATTATATTCCATTATATTATTATAGTATATTGTTTTATTCAATTATATTATATTGTTATTGCATTATATTGCATTATATTGCATTATATTGCATTATATTATATTATATTATATATTATATTATATTATTAAATGTAAATATAATTTATTTTTATTTTTTTTTTTGTAATAAGTGGTCCATGGAAGCCAAATAAATGTTTAACCATTATTTTTACTATACTGTACACTGTAAAAATGCTGGGTTCCAAACAATTCATTCATGTTGTCCCAACACAAATACATTATTAAGTTCATTAAGTTAATTAAGTAAAACCATTTAGCTGTTTTAAAAATCTGAAGAATTGTGTTGTTTCAACTAAATTTTTAGTAAGTAGATAGAACAAGCAGCTTGATCATTTTTAAGCGTATTTTAAATCATGACAAAATGCAATGTCATGTCAACAAAACATACATTTGAGATTTAAATATGAGCCCTTTAGGTATAAAAGTAAAAGTACCACCACAGAAGATTTTTAATTATTATAATATAATGCTCATGAGCAGTGTTGGGGTAATGGATTACAAGTTACACGAGTTACATGATAATATTACTTTTCAAAGAAACGAGTAAAGGAACACATTACATTTTAAAAAATAAGTAATAACAATTAAGTTACTTTTAAAAAAATTATTGCAAGTTACTTTTCAGTTTAGTTAATGAGCTTTTAAAAATAAATTGCTTAATTAAAAGTGGTCACAATGAATCACACAGTCAATGAGAGAATGTTTTCAATATTTTGAACCCATCGATCAAAAGGTAAAGGGGATTATAGTCTCAATGAACAGTGATTTTACTTAAGACTAATAGTACAAAAGTAGCAAACACATTGCTTTAAACCGTCAATAATCTGTATATACGGCATGTAGAGCTCTGGGGTCAGGAAGTTCTCAAATAACATTATCCTAAAATATTATGCTTTGATGTGTTTTTTAAAGCTAAATGAAGGTTATACAGTGCATTGTTAATTGAAAATAGTTCTGAAAGAGATTAGGCCTCAGCCAGGTCAGAAAAAGTTACTCAAAAGTTACTCAAAATGCATTACTTATAACAAAAAGTAACCAAGTAACGCAACTAGTTACTTTTTGGGGGAGTAACTCAATATTGTAATGCATTACTTTTAAAAGTATCTATCTCCAACAAATATGACCTTTATTTCATTAATTATTATAACAATACACTCTTAGAAATAAAGATCCGAGAGCTGCCACTTTTTTAAAAGTTAACAATTTGTATACTTAACGGGTTCATATTGTCATATCTCAAAGGTGTATATTAGTACCTAAAAAAAAGACATATATTTTTTTACTTTTTTACGTACTAATATGTACCCTTGAGGTATTAAAAAGAACCCTTTAGTTACAAATGTATACCTTTTAAAAGGGTAGCACCCCAGCGACAGCTCTCGTACCTTTATTTCTGAGAGTGTACGGTCACAGTAGCATGTAATCTATGCTTTTGGTTTTGGTTTGATATGTAACCTGAGCAGATTTGCATCATGAGTTTCATCCACCTACTTTGTGTGAATAAATTAAGATATTTTCACCCCTCACCTGCGCAATACTCCTCCAAGCAGGGATGCGTTCAGACACTCGGGCGGCGACAGGCGTCTCTGAACTTCTGCCACAGTTACTTTATACTTGGAAGTGGAGCTGAGAAGAGAGAGACGGCCAGGAACCGAACAGAAGACCTCAGTGGGATTCGACACCATTCCCAGCAGGGACTCTTTCTGAAAGGGAATCCCAAATGCATTTCCCTTGGGCAGAGACACCGGACCTGGAGATGAGAGAAACATATTGGTGCGCTCAAACAAACTGATCCAGAAACACAGAGAGAATTAAATACAGCAGATATGGATGCATGGTAGAGTTTTCTCCATTGTGCTTTAGTTTAAGCAACAACTTTGTCTGAAGTTCCTTTGAAATGTTGTTAACTCTATTAAAACATGCAGTAATGGTAACACTATAGGTTAAGCATGTCATGATTTAGCCAAGTACAATGCAATCCTGGATTAGCATCCATGTTCATCCCGGAACATCATTTTTGATGGAAAATGTAATCCGTACCTATTCCCTACCCCTAATCCCAACTATTATTCCCCACTGATTTTGGGAATAATTTACTGTGAAGGTTGGGTTTAGGGCAGCGGTTCTCAAAGTGGGGGTCGGGACCCCCTGGAGGGTCGCGGGACATTAACAAGGTGTTGCTTGATGATTTCCAAAACTCAAATAAATTTTATTAAGTTATTTGAATTACTATATTTGTATTCATAACCCACAGAAGATAGTTAATAGTTGCGTTAAAGAAACAACAACAACATACAAATTAAGCCATCAGCCTTTAATTTTTATATTAAAATGTAATTAATAAATGACTATAGAAAAGCATTATATGGTTAATATACTGTTGCATTTCTGTGTTGTCAATATGTTCATGTTTATATTTGCCTATAGTTGTGTGCGCAACGTTTGTATATTTACAGTATAGCCACCTTGAAAAATGGGGGTCGCGAGTCACTGACATTGTAATTTTGGGGGTCGCTGGCTGAAAAGTTTGGGAAGCCCTGGTTTAGGGCATACCTGCCAACATTTGACCCTGAAAATCTGGTGGGGTTCGATTCGGGTGTGAAGTGTCAGAGTAAAACTGTGGAGAACCTGTTACTGTGTACTGTGGTGTTAGTAACTGTACTATAAAGTGTGTTTCGGTTGGCCACTGCGATCGGATCCTATACCAATGTTGGGGACCTGGGGGTTTCACAGATTGTACCAAAATGCTGAGGACCGGGGGTGGGGGTGGAGGATGGTTGAAATTACGAAAAAAAAATAACAAAACGGGAGGGTGGCGGGAGATGGGTCTGAAATACTGGAGACTCCCTGGAAAAACAGGAGTGTTGGCAGGTAAGGTTTACAGGTGGGGAATAAGTATGGATTACATGTTCCAGGATTAACAAAGATGCTAATTCAGGATCACATCATACTAGGCAAACTCATGATGTGCGGACAACTAAATTGTTTAATGCTCAATCCACTTAAGTAAATAAAAACTAAGTTAACTTAACTCCTTCATGTTTTCCTAATAGCCATTGGCTGTCAAGAGCAATCATTTTCACAGTGCATAAAGTACATAATCTGCATGATCTTATTCTACATCCCTAATCCTAAACAACACCCAAACCCAACTACAAACCTAACAACTAATAATATGCAGACATTAAGAAGTTTATTCAAAATAAAGGAGCAAAAAAGTCATAGTAAATGGTTTGTTAATTGCGAGAATTCATTCGTTCATTCTCCTAGTGCCTTTATTCACCAGGGGTCGCCACAGCCGAATGAACCGCGACTTATCCAGCATATGTTTTACACAGTGGATGCCTTTCCAGCTGCAACACAGTACTGGAAAAACACCCATACCCACCCATTCACACTCATACACTACGGCCGATTTAATTTATTCAATTTAGTTTTTGACTATACAGTTGGGTGATGCGGTGGCTCAGTGGTTAGCACTGTTGGCTCACAGCAAGAAGGTCACTGATTCAAGTCCCAGCTGGAACAGTTGGCATTTCTGTATGGAGTTTGCCTGTTCTCCCCATGTTTGCATGCGTTTCCTCCGGGTGCTCCGGTTTCCCCCAAAGTCCAAACACATGCGCTATAGGTGAATTGGATGAACTAAATTGGTCCTAGTGTATGTGTGTAGTAGTGTATGATTGCGGCTGGAAGGGCATCAGCTGTGTAAAACATATGCTGGAATAGTTGGCGGTTCATTCAGCAGTGGTGACCCCTGATAAATAAAGGGAGTAATCCGAAGTAAAATGAATGAATGAATGAATGAGATGAATAATGGAATCTTTTTTATTAAGATTAAGTTGTGTCGTTACAAATATAGTTTGTTGATTTGGTGTTTCCCCAATCTGTTGTTCCAACAAACGTTCACAAACTGCGTCGCAAACTTCTATGCTTGCAACTACACCTTTGGAGCTGTAGTTAGAAACATAGACTCTCGTCACTACATCGTTCTATTCCCAAACGATGCATCGTACTATAATAGTTCAGCCGCCAGTTACGTCGTTGTTTGGGAAACGCACCCCAGTTCAACTTGATAACAATCAAAATTTATAAATGCAAAATATCCAATCATTCATATCCAATCAAAATATCCAAGCATTTAGAGTTTATTTCGAAAAATGGTTTATTTAATACAAACTGGAGGCTGAGGTGGCACAAGTGAAGATGCTTGAGATTTATGCTAGAAACGTGTGACATAAATTTTGCTATGAACCAGAACGGGACAGCGCATCTCAGAAGAGTCGTGCATGCTGTAATTACACTGGCTAAAATATTGACATAGACGTTAATTCAGCAAGGCACTCTGGTGACTGAAAAGCAAATCTAAATTACTGACTGAATAAAATGCACACCAGAATCTGTCAATCAGCTCCTGACCTCAACACACTGCAAGCCAACACAGCCAATTATACTTCAAGGCCAGCAAACAATATAGCATCTCAAGTTGAGTATCTGCAGTAAAGAAAATAGTCTCGCGATTGTGATCTTTAGTGCATCTGTAAATCCCCTTTGATGGGTGTTTTAACATTCTTCTCATTTTTCTCACATTCGACAGCGAAGCAGGAAACACAAAAGTAAGAAGCGCAAAACTAGAACTTCAAAGAAGAACAAAGAAAAAATGGATGCATGCCTTTGGAATTAATTATCAACTGTTGGGTGCAGTTCTAGAGCCAGTCCATAATGTAAAATAAACCTATTATAAGATCATGCAGAGCTTTCAATATTGACTTTTTAAAGAGAGAATGGTCATGAGTCTAATTATTAAACTCTACATTGTTCATGCAACTGCACTGTTAAAAATATTGGGATCCATATAATCGATTTCTGTGAATTAAATTAACTTTTTAATTTTGACAACTTTAGGTAGATTGAACTTAAAACAATTGAGTTGTCCCAAAAACGCAATACTTGTGTGGATTTTAGCTTATTTTATATAAGTTTGAAAAAACGTCACTTTTTTGTGTGTGTAAAAATGATAAGACAAAATATCAAAACAAAATGTTACTTATTTAACTTATTTAAAAAAGGTAAACAGTTGTACCTATTTTTTTAAGTTACACAAAGTTTAATATTTGTACTCAGTTTGATTATTGCAAGTTGAGATGATTAAAAAATTAAGTTGACTCAACTAAAGAAAAATAGGCAGCAAGATGTTTTTGTAAAAATGATTTGTCATAACAAAATGCTTTTATTTCTTATTTAAATGTTGTTTATCTGACTTGTTTTAAAAGGGTAAAGATGAAGGAATTATGTTAATTTATTTGACAAATTTAAGTAGATTGAACTTAAAACAATTAAGTTGTCCCCCCAAAAGCTGAAGAATAGTGTGGTTTCAGCTCATTTTACATAAGTAGTTCAAACAAAGTGTAAAAATAAGACAAAATACCATAATTAAATGTTTTTGTTACTTATAAAATAGTTTAAAAAAGTAAACAGGTTTTTCTTTTAAAGTTATGTTTAACTTAAATTTTTCCGGTCATCTTAGCTTGCATCAAATATTAAGTTGACTCAACTAAACAAACACAGGCAGCAATATTTTTTTGAGTGTGTAAAAATGATAAGACAAACAGTCATAACAAAATACTTTTATTCCTTATTTAAATGTTGTTTATCCGACTTTTTTTAAAAAAAAGGTAAACATAAAGGAATTAAGTAACTTATTAATTTGACAAATTTAAGTAGATTGAACATAAAACAATTGAGTTGTCCCAAAAAAAACTAAAGAATAGTGTAGTTTCAGCTCATTTAACATAAGTAGTTTGAACAAACATGTCACTTTTTTGTGTGTGTAAAAATGATAAGACAAAATATCATAACAAAATGTTACTTATTTAACTTATTTTAAAAAGGTAAACAGTTTTTACCAGTTTTTTTTTAAGTTACACAAAGTTTAACTCAATATTTGTACTCAGTTTGATTGCTGCAAGTTAAGAAAACTAAGTTGACTCAACTAAAGAAAAATAGGCAGCAAGATGTTTTTGTAAAAATGATTTGTCATACCAAAATGTTTTTATTTCTTATTTAACTGTTGTTTGTCTGACTTATTTTTAAAAAGGTAAACATGAAGGAACTGAGTAACTTACTAATCTGACAAATTTAAGTAGAGTTAACTTAAAACAAGTGAGTTGTCCCCCAAAAAGTTAAAGAATAGTGTGGTTTCAGCTCATTTTACATAAGTAGTTTGAACAAACAACACGTCTTTTTTTGTGTGAGTAAAAATAAGACAAAATGCCATAATTAAATGTTTTTGTTACTTATAACATAGTTTAAAAAGGTAAACAGGTTTCAGCTATTTCTTTTAACTTTTCTGGTCATCTTAGCTTGTATCAAATATTAAGTTGACTCAACTAAACAAATATAGGCAGCAAGATTTTTTGAGTGTGTAAAAATGATAAGACAAACAGTCATAACAAAAACCTTTTATTCCTTATTTAAATGCTGTTTATCTGACTTTTTTAAGGTAAACATGAAGGAATTAAGTAACTTACTAATTTGACAAATTTAAGTATAGTGAATTTAAAACAATTGAGTTGTCCCCCAAAAACTGAAGAATTGTGTGAGTTCTGCTTATTTAACATGAGTAGTTTTAATATGTTATTTTTGAGTGTAAAAATAATAAGACAAAAATGTTTTTGTTACTTTTCTAACTTATTTTAAAAAGGTAAACATGTTTTCACCTATTTTTTTTTAAGTTACACTAAGTTTAACTCAATATTTTGTACTCGGTTTGAGTTATGCAAGTTCAGATGACCAGAAAAATTTAAGTTGACACAACTAAACAAATACAGACAGCAATATTTTTTTTGAGTGTGTCAAAATGAAAAGACAAACAGCCATAACAAAATGCTTTTGTTTCTTATTTAACTGTTGCTTATCTGACTTATTTTAAAAAGGTAAAGATGAAGGAATTAGGTTAATTTACTAATTTGACAAATTTAAGTAGATTGAGCTTAAAACAATTGAGTTGTCCTGCAAAAAGCTGAATGCTAGTGTGGTTTCAGCTCATTTTAAATCAGTATTTTTTATTAATATTATTATTTTTTTTACTTTATAATAATTTTTTCGGGGTTTTCACCTTCATTGGACCAGACAGTAGAGAGTATTGACAGGTAAGCATGGAGAGCAGAGAGATGGGAAGAATCGGCATAGGACCGAGAGATGAGAATCCCAATCGGGTCGCCGTGAGCACGGGAGTGCATTCGTCGACACACTAACCACTACAACACGGGTGTCATTAAATCAGTACTTTTAACACAACACATGTCATTTTTTAAGTGTGTGTGAAAGTTATAATACAAAAATCATAACAAAATGTTTTTTTTTTTTTTAAAAGGTCAACAGGTTTTACTCAACTTTTTAAAGTTACACAATATTTGTCCTCAGTTTGATTGCTGCAAGTTGAGATGACCGGAAAAATTAATTGATTCAAATACAGGGAGCAAGATTTTTTTGAGTGGATAAAAATGATAAGACAAAAAGTCATAAAATGCTATTTAATTGTCACTTCCCAGCAGGCACAGGACGTCAACATGATGCCAACATCGTGGGATGTTGCATTTTGTTTGGAAATGAAAATCAGGTTGACATTATATGATGTTACAGCTTGACGTTATGTGGATGTTACCACTATAACGTCTATCAGATGTTGGATTTTGGTTGCCATACCTGACGAATAAATGTCAGCATTTGACATCATCATGATGCTGGTTTAAGATGTTGGCTCGACGTTGGATTTTGGTCACTTTCCAACAAAACCTAAAATCAACGTCATTTACCGTCGTAATCAGAAATCAAAACAGCATCCTTAGACACCGACTAGACATTGAATTTTGGTCAAAATGTAACCTAATATTAACATTATACACTGAAAAAAAATGATTCAAAGATGATTTCTTGCCTTTATTAACATTTTTAAATGAAGTGGTTGTAAACAATTTATTTGGGCTGAATTTAAATAAACAAATTAAGTTGAGCATTATTAAGTTCAATGTGTTTAAATTCAACCCACATATTTTTATTTGCAACCATTCTGCAGAAATCCTTTTTTTTCACTGAATGTCAATGCGTGCCTGCTTATTTTAAAGAGGTAAACATGTTTCAACTCTTTTTCTTAAGTTAAACAAAGTTTAATTGATGCAAGCTGAAATGACCAGAAATATTCAAGCTGACTCATCTAAAAAATACAGGCAGCAAGATTTTCTTACAGTGCAGAAGCTACTGATTATACAGACGTCAACCTGAACATGCATTCAACATGACAAACCTGACAAAACTAAAGTCAATAGTTTTAAACAAACTCTTTTAAAGACACATTTTTTGCTCGCGTAAATCAACCTGAGATGAAAATTCCTATGGGGGGAAAAACAGTGGAGAAGCACTGATATAAACCATCCTTTTGAGCGACTAATGATAGCACAAAATAAACAGATGTTCAAAACTGTCTTTCGCTTTTGCTTATTTAGGAAGATTTCATGTCACAGCATATGACTGAACAAAATACATGTTTAAAAGCAGCCACACCCCGACTACAGTTGATTCTTGTCTTCTCATGCATGTGTGTGTGTGTGTGTGTGTGTAGTGAGGCAGAATTGCGTTCACACTGTGTTCAGCTCTGTTTCAAAAGACTAAAACGCAGGCCTAGGCCTCCTCTCTCTGAGCAAACACACCATTTTAAGGATTGCCCAACATCTACAACTTTGGCTGGTCTGCCATTTTGAGAGGAATCCTTTCTTTGGCTTCCCATTCATGCTGAAAGAGTGTCAGAATGCCTCGCGGATCAATGCCAGATTAGTTAAATGGACCACATGACCAAAAGGATTAGTGATATATGTATGAACCAGCACCACCTCAAATACGCCTACCTAAACCTGGACTTTCGGTTCTCCCCCCCTGACAGCAAAGGTGTGAGATTTCTTTTTAGTCTGAACGCGGTTTAAGCAAGTCTTTGTGAAGATTTGAGCCAATGCAAATCATGCACGGCGTAAGATGATTGCAAAATGTTTTAATGCAAATGAGAGATTAATCTTGAGAGGTTGTAGACGCATTCAAAATTACAGAGGGCTGTTTGACATTACATGCAGTTTCAAATCTATTAACTTTGCATGGAATATGCATATTTAATTGATTTATTCATACTAATTATTAAACATTATTATGCATGCAAGTTTAATTAGCTCATATTAATCTAAAGTCTATGCAGATGTTTTTGTACATTATTATTGTTTTCCCACAGAAACATTTAATACAAAAAGACACTCATTCAAATACACAACATACATCTGAGCTCTGCATTGATACATGTATGAAAACAAAAATGCCACCAACCTTTTTTGATGACCGTATGATCTGGGATTATAATACTGTGATCACCATCGTGCTGCAATAAAACAAAATGAGCAGGAAATGCATCAGTATGTCCTCTTATTCCCAAAATAAACAGTGTTTAGCAAAGCAACTTTAATAGTAATATATTGAGATAAAACAAGTAACAGTCACACTTTACAATGTGCTTTCATTAGTTAAAGCTAGTTAATGTATTTATTAAATAATGAACAATACTTGTACAGCATTAATTAATGGTAGTTCCTTATTACCATCCAAATTAATGCTTGTTAACATGAGTTAATTCACTGCGAGTTAACATGAACTAACATGGAACAACTGTATTTCTATTATCTAACATAAACAAATACTGTATTAAATGTGTTGTTCATTGTTTATTCATGTTAGTAAATGCTTTAACTAACATTAACTAATACAAGCTTATTGTAAAGTGTAACCCGAGTGTGCCACTTAGCTACTCTTTAAGGAAAGTAATGTGTTATGTTTCTCTTTGTTTAGAAATTAAAGGGTTAGTTTACACAAAAATTACACAATTTACTGACTATTTACTCTCTCTCTCTCTCTCTCTCTCTCTCTCTCTCTCTCTCTCTCTCTCAAGTGGTTCCAAACCCTTATGTTCAACACAAAATAAAATACTTTGAAGAATGATGAAAACTGGTAACTATCGACTTTAATATTAGAATAAAAACAATACTATGAAAGTCAATGGTCACAGGTTTCCAGCATTCTTTGAAGTATCTTCTTTTGTGTTCAACAGAAGAAAAAAAAATCTCACAACATTCTAAAACAAGTAAAGGGTGAGTAAATGATGCAGAAATTTCATTTTTAAATGAACTATCCTTTTAAGATAGACTTAAACCTATATATATATATATATATATATATATATATATATATATATATATATATATATATATATATATATATATATATATAAACACACACACACACGCACGCACACACACACACATATACATATATATATATATATATATATATATATATATATATATATATATATATATATATATATATATATATATATATATATATATATATACACAAACACACGAAGAGTCGCCTTTAAAAAATTCTCTGTTACACTTTAGGTCACAATTCACTGTATTAATAAAGCATTAACTCACACTACTAGCTTAATAAACTATTAATTAGCTGTTTATTAATAGTTTGTAAGGTAGAAGTTGGGTTTTGGGTAGGATTAGAGATGTAGAATAAGATCATAGTTTATACCTACTAATGAACAGTTAATATCTTAATATTAGGCATGTAATAAGCAAGTTGTTAATAGCATGACTTGTCCTAAACTAAATTCTTCCCAACTTCTCTGATAAAAAAATGAGCATTTTTATCAGGCTCCTGTGTGTAGGTTTAATAATTCCAGTTTTATGACGAATAATACATACTTAAAAGGTGAAAAAAACCTCAACATACACTAAAATATATATATACTCTGCTTGTTCAAATTACTTAGAAATTATTAAAACGAGCTGGAACAACACAATTCTTGTGATTTTTGGGGGATAACTTAATTATTTTATGTTCAAGCCACTCATTATTTTATTATTATACTATTATGCTTATTATAAATTAACTTTATCAATTTGTGTTGCCATAACATCAACGAATAGTGTGAAAGTTTTTTACAGTATAAACAAAGGAAAATAAAAATGTTCATTGTTTTGATGGAAAATTTCAGTCGGCACTCAGAGAAGTTTTTGCATCTGAACTCTTCATACTAAACAATAACTTAGAATTGACGAATTCAATTCTAGCTTGCTAGCACTTTTCACAATACCTATTGTTTCAAAGCAGCTTTACATTATAGGTGCACATTATTGCATTAAATTCATTTTCAGAACAGTGAAGGTTATTAGTTATCATAACTTTATTAGGTACAAATAACTTTAACTAATTAACTAGTAATAATAGCTTTCAACAGTTAAAGTACACCCCTCACAAATCTATCTTTTAAATTCACATTTTAATATATATATATATATATTAGATCAGGAGTTCCCAAACTTTTCAAATCGCGACCCTTAAAATTACAATTCCAGTGACTCGCGACCCCCACTACCTTCAGAGGTGGTTTTAAACTTAAAAACATTGCACACAACGCTGCACACACACACCAATAGGAGCTATATAAACTACCTTATTGACAACACAAAAAAATCCATACAATACAAAACAAAACAACCAAAAATATTTTTTATAGTCAATATTTGTTTAATTTAATAATAACCTCACTTAATGAAAATGGTGATCACAATGTTTACAGCACAACACTATTCTCGGTTTAATTTTTTGGAGATCATTCTCCATGTTCAGTCGTAGCCTTTATTTGTAATGTATGTGAGTGCAGTGTCAAAGGTGTCAAAGTTGAACATTGTGCCATAAAATCAAACTGCTGCACCTAACACTACTGTTGTGTCATTAATCTAGCGTAATAACCCCAGGGGTCACAATCCAGTGGAAAAAGAATTGAAATAGTGATGGCTTTTTATTTGCATGTTTTTTTATGTATAAAATAGTATTTTTATTAGGTTATGGATAAAATATGGTAATTCGAATAGTTTAATAACATATATGATATTTTTGGAAATCACCAAGCAACCCCCCCCTCCTTGTCTCACGACCCCCTAGAGGGTTACGACCCTAACTTTGGGAACCACTGCATGAGAATAGTCGTTACTGAAGCCAAATCTGGAGCTTATCTAAAAAAAAATAACTTACGATAACCATCCAAAAACAAGTACAGCCAAATTTTTATGTTATAAAAAAATATTAAATACAAATTTAAAAAAGAGGAAAAATCAAGAGATGCAAAAAAAAAGTATAATTTAGTTTAAATTTTGTAGTTTGTAATTTATTTTTGCTTGAATTTAATTGCATCATCTTTCAATTTCTAAATGTTTGGTGACTAAAATATTATTTGATTAAATATATCTGTTTAATAAATTTGTTTTGTTTAAATGCATCAAAATACACTGCCTATATTCTCACTGGGAAATAGATAATAATATTAATTTTCAAAATGGGGTGTACTTAATTATGCTGAGCACTGTATAAACACAGTCAACCTGCTGTTATATAGTTTATGATGACTCTGAAGTGTGTTTGTGCACTTATGTGCTCTGACATCAACTCACCTGAACATCTTCCATCCCGTGACCTATATCATGCAAACCAATGTTGTCGCCTAAAGAGTCGATTCCATGGATATGCGGAGGCAGCAGTTCTGGCCTCCTAAAACCATCCCGCCGCATCCCGGACGAGCCCCCCTCCAGGCCCAGAATAGGACTTCCGAGTCCGCTTCGACCATGACCTCCGATGCCCTCCTGACCTTGCCGTCCGGGCCATGACTGCTGCTGATTGGAGTTTGCAGACTGGTGTATGGGGTTGATGTTAAACGGGTCGCCCAGATGAGAGTATGGGTCGCTGGGTTGGGTGTATGGTATAGGCTGGTAAGGTGGAGGGAAATACGGAGGCTGGAAGTCCGAGCTAGCGGGGTGGGAAAGGGATGGTGGTGGGCTGTAGAGGTGCTGGCTCACCGCAGGGATGTGAGGTAACCGAGGGTTCCCATTGCTGCTAACATCATGTCTTTCCTGCTGGAATAGAGATTAAACAACACTGTTAAAAAAATGCTGGGCTCCACACACTTAAATGCAAGTGGATTGAACTTAAAACAATTAAGTTGTCCCAAGAGTTGTGTCGTTTCAGCTCATTTTGAACAAACAGCAAGTGAATGCAAAATGTACTGCACTACAAGGTAACTTAGTAGTTTTAAGAGGACAAATTTAGGTGGATAGAACTAAAAAAAAATTAAGTTGGCCCAAAGAAACTCAAGAATTGTGAACTGCGAATGCAAAATATACACTGTAAAAAAAAAAAAAAAACCTTGCTTCCAAACAATTGATTTGTGTTTTGATTTGTGGACAACATGAAGGACTTCAAGTTAGCTTATTTATTTATTTATTTTAGAAATGGCAGAGGATTGAACTTAAATCAGTTAGGTTGTCCCAAAGAAACTCAAGAATTGTGTTGTTTCAGCTCATTTTAAATAAGTAGTTTGATCAAACAGCAAGTGACTGAAAGTGAGGGAATGCTAAATATACGACACTGTAAAACAATGCTGGGTTCCACACACTTTTTACAGGTACAAGTAAACATATTATTTTTAAGTGGACTAATTTAGGTGGATTGAACTAAAAACAATTAAGTTGGCCCTAAGAAACTCATGAATTGTGAACGCAAAATATACTATATCGTAAAAACAAAATGCTGGGCTCCACACAATTAATTTGTATTTTGATTTGTGGACACCATGAAGGAATGTTTTTAATAAATTAAGTTGTCCCAAAGAAACTCAGGAATAGTAATCTTTCGGATGATTTTAAATTAGTAGTTTACATAAACAGCAAGTGAATGAAAGTGAGTGCAAATTATATCACACTGTTAAAAATGCTGGGCTCCACACATTTAACACAGGTACAAGTTAACCTATTCGTTTTAAGTGGAATATTTAGGTGAATTAAACTTAAAACTATTAAGTTGGCTAAAATAATCTCAAGCATTGTGAATTTTGAATGCAAAATATACACTGTAAAAAATGCTGGCTTCCATAAAATTGATTTGTGTTCATATTTGTGGACAACACTTCAAGTTAACTTATTCGTTTTTAGAAATTGCAGTGGATTGAACTTAAATCCATTAAGTTGTGCCAAAGAAACTCAAGTATTGTGTTGTTTCAAATCATTTTAAATAAGTAGTTTGAACAAACAGCAAGTGAATGAAAGTAAATGTAAAATACACAACACTGGAAAACAATGCTGGCTTCCACACACTTATTACAGGTTTTAAGGACTAATTTAGGTGGATGGAACTTAAAACAATTAAGTTGGCCGAAATAAACTCAAGAGTTGAACATCGTGAATGCAAAATATACTGCACTGTAAAATAAATCCTGGGTTTGATTTGTGGACAACATGAAGGAATTCAAGTTAACCTAATTGAAGTTTTTAGAAAATGCAGTGGATTGAACTTACATACTTATAAATACTTGATACTTAAATAATTAAGTTGTTGCAAAAGAAATAAACCCTCAAGAATTGTGTTGTTTCAGTTCATTTTAAATAACTTGTAGTTTTAAAAGTCTTATTTTGAGCGAGTGCAACATATGTTATATACACTGCATCTATATATACACTGTAAAAAAAAGTCTGGGTTATACACACAATTCCTCCATGTTGTCCTGACACAAATCGATTTTACAAATTTAAGAGGATTAAACTTAAAACAATTAAGTTGTCCCCAAAAACCCTTAAGAATTGTGTCGTTTCGGCTCCTTTTAAACAAGTAGTTTTTCAGCAAATATACTATATACACTGCATCTATATTGCACCTCTCTAGTGATTTGAGAGCTTTTATACTCAAATTGCTTTAGATTAAAGCATCTGTATAATTGTAAATATAAAGGAATTTTTAATATATATATTTTTATATAATTATGGATTTTTGTATTAACTGCAATGATTTTTGGTTGTGTGATTAAATGAATACACTGACAAATGCATATCTGGATTAATAAAAATAACAAAAACAATATTTTCAAATCTAAATAAACCAAAAACTTCTTAAAACTGTTTTTAAATCACTTTTATATTCCTGAACACTTTTGTCTCGCACTTTGTCATAAATACAGGTATATAAATAAATACCTGCAATAATAACGTATGCAAGGCTGAATTAAACCATTGCTTGCTTTAATTTATATGCATTTTTTTCTATTTAAATAATTAAAACATGCATTAGGCTACTTAATTAATTTCATCCTTAAACTGTAAGTTTATTGATCAAATCGCAGATTTGACTCAAATCAACGCGGTTAATTCGATGTTATCACATGCAACGTGTAGTTTTACCTATCCAAACATTTTTACAAAGTCTTTTGTTCTCTTTCTCATTCAGATGACTGAAACATCAACAGAGGTGCTCGTCTTTTGAGTCGGTGTTCGGCTCTTGTGCATTCATGACTTCTATTGTCAGGCCAAGTTGCTCGGATAGTTTACTGTCACCAGAATCACATGAATGACAAAGAGCGACGCGACATTTCTAGACAGCTTAGGCGACCGCGGGAATTAGTCTTCGAGGTTTTCACTCATATTCATCCTGAAAACAGATATCGAAAACAACGGTGAGTGGACAATGATGCGACTCTTAAATAAAGCAGGGTTAATGTAACTCAACGCTGGGTCAAATATGTACAACTGCTGCGTAAAAAAGCATAATGTCAATTTAATTGAAATGTGAGTTTGTCCATAGCTGCTTGACCCAATGTTGGGACAACTTAGCACTTTTTAAAGAGTGTAAGTTTAAATACAGGCCAACAAAAAATGTGCATTGACAAAACGTGCAATAACTGCGTCTGAAATGAAATTGCGTTGACATTTTTATTAAGCCTATAATCATTGTGATTACTATTTTATTATTATTAAATGCAAAACAAATTTTGATAATAGCCTATATATATATATATATATATATATATATATATATATATATATATATATATATATATATATATATATATATATATATATATAGTGTGTTTATTGATTTATGCATTTGCGTTGTAGTTAAATAATATTTTAAGGAACGCATTTTGTCTTTGGATGTGCAAATGCGCATTTAAAAATGTAAAAATAAATAAGACTATTGCTTATTTTCTTCATCGTAAATTGTAATGGTTATACAAGCTGCGAACCATTGCTTCTAGAAAACTTTTTTCTTCCCCTAGAGCTCACTTTGCATACGATTTGTAAATAGAAAACATCTAATTTCCGCGTTTTAAAATTATAAGCACACAAAATGCGCGCGTCTCCGCATAAAATAAAAAAGCGCGCGCCTCCTCAGTTCCTCTTACCTCGCAGTCATCTTCATACTTGACGTTATCTGCTAATTTCCACAACATGTTGTTTCTGTGAGGCTGGATCTCAGAAGTGTGTATCTGTGCAAGAGTTAGTTTGCGGTCTAGAAAATAATCCAGAGAGTCCGGCGCGCGCTGCGCACAAGTGAAGCATCAACTCAGTGTTGAAGGAGGAGGAAAACTGAAGAGAAACTGACGCACATCGAGACTCGAAACTAATTGCACGAACAACTAACTCGATCCAAAGTGAAACGCGGGACAGAAGCAGTGACTCCCTCTGACGGACAGTCTCGACTCGCTGACTCGCTTTGGACTCTCAACACTATATTCACACGAGCCGCTTGTGGGCGTTAAAAATCTGGGTGGAGGTGACGTCAGAGCAAACAAGCTGGAGTTGATTGGTCGCTGTCAGAGCGATGGACCAATCACAAATCCGTCCGTCTGTTCTGAGGGCCAATTAATCCTGAACGAAAAAGTTGTGATGTTTTCGCCATTTAATGACAGAGAGTGCACAGACAACAGCTCTCTGAAAACATCTTTAAAGCAAAATTTATACAAAAAGAGCTCAGGGATAGCTTAATTAATGTATCAGGGCTCTTTGGGTAAGGAATTCATCAGAATTAACGGGAAAAAAAAGTTTGAGGCACTTGAAAAACTTAATAAAAAGCCTTTATTGGCATGGCTATTGCTTAAAACGGCGCCTACGTGGTTCGGTAAACTCTTGCCTTCATCGGGGCAACAGAGCTCGCGTGCGTCTGGAGTTTCTATTGAACACTATATGGTCTCGTGACTCATCTGAAGAATATTAAATACAATATACTGAACTCAGGTCAACTCAACACAGCAGTTTCAAAAGCTAACGTGGGTTAAATATGGACCGACGCAATACAATAATGACCCTTGCTGGATTTGTGCAGGTAGGTTTGTGCACGTTTGAGTTGAAACAACCCTGCATTTTTAGAGCAAAAGAGTGATGAATTAAGCCCAAACTATTGCAGGCCAATAAAACTAAGGACTTTAAATTAAAACGGAATGTTATAATAATTGAATAAATATGAGACAGACAGACAGACAGACAGACAGACAGACAGACAGACAGACGGATGGATGGATGGATGGATGGATGGATGGATGGATGGATGGATGGATGGATGGATGGATGGATGGATGGATGGATGGATGGATAGACAGACAGACAGACAGACAGACATATAATATTTTATAATATTTACATATTTCAAAAAAAGTAGACAAACGATAAGATATTTTTTGCAAAACATAATCCATTATATTTTAGTCTGACTCTATAAAAACAAAAGCATAAGATAAAGATGTTAAAGAAATTAAACATCCACTAATTTTACACTTACATACACTGCACCAATGTATTTAGAGTGTAACAGAGAAATATTTTTAAATTAGATAAATACGCAACATTTATGATACTATATGATACTATAAAGACAATATAATAATAATGCTAATAATAATAATACTAGTAAAAATAATAGTGGTAATAATAATAATAATAATAAATAAATAAAACAACAATAAAAAATAACCAAAATAATAATAAAATGATCAGCAACAACATAGCAAAATAATGCAATTTATAAATAATTATATTATATAATACTTATATTTCATATTTATTATAAACATTAATATTTTTTATTAATAACACAAAGTAATATATACATTTTAAATATGGATAACAGACTGTAAATAAATACCGGGTCATTTCAATCCAATTTTGGGTGAAATAGAGACTAACCTAACTCCTGGGATATTTTTTTTATTAAAATAATAGGACTAAATGTTACTCAGCGGTTTTGTTAAGACATATCTGTACCCAATTTGGATTTAAATAACCCAGCATTACTTAGAATAAAAAATATATAAAAAGACCGGAAAACGTCCTCGAATTAGACATTTTGAAATCCGTAAAAATAACTATAATTCCTTTAAGCAAGCAAAAGAATCAAAATAAGGAAGAAAGCACGCTAAGAAGAAAGCAAACTGCCTAAATGAAGGATAATCCCGCTTAAAGTCGGCCGTGTGCAGGAGAATTAAATGTAATTATGGGTCAAATCGCCCGCGGCTGTTTGTCCTCGGCTCGGACTCGGTGAAATGAAGCGGGTTTGATTCTCTCTGACCTGACTGCATGCAGAGTTTCATCAGGTTTGATTCTCCGTTACTGTCAGATCTTTCACACAATCTACTGTAACCCCTAAGGACAAACATCTACTTATGTAACCTGGTGAAAGCGCAAGCAAAACACACACTTCAAAGCAATAATGTGATGCATCAATGACAATTGTCATAACACAAATTATTATTCAGCCTATATTTGTGCATAGTGAAATCTGAAATGTCTAATTTGGTGTAACTTTAAAAACTCACTTATAGTTTTAGTTAAACTCAAATGCAATGCTAATATGTGACCGAAAATAGCATGCGAATAAGATGATTTGTTTTAATAGCGATTTTAACATGCATGCATTAGGCTTCGTCTGTTTTTAGCTTAAATTCGTATCAAAAAGCATTTTGGACTCAAATAAAAGCAGTTAATTTAGATGTTATCATACGCAATGTGTAATTCCCCAAACAATTTAGGTGCAAAACGTGATATTTTAACTGATTTATTGATGTATTTTAAAATGTATTAATTACTAAAGGTGCTTTTCAATTTGCAGGCCCCGATAAGGGAACAATAAGGCCCCAAAGCGCTTAAAATATATAATACGCATACTGCGATACACATTCATTGTAATATTTAAATTAAATGCAGGCTTATTTATTTGTTTTTTTTAGTAATAATAAAATTTTAGTAACACAAATAAATAAATATAATTAGACATAGGATTGATCGTAAAACTCTGCAGCTCAGTTTATTCATTTTTGCGCAGTTTCTTTTTAAATATTCTCTCAATTATCTGCTAAAGACCTATTTAGCATTGTAATCTATATTTCAGGCTTGAATTTGAAAAATTAATGTCTAATCTGTTGCTGTTGTTACAAACTGATCCATTACCAGATAGATTTGTAACAGAAGATGAGTTGTAACACCAACAGGAAAAAAGGAGAAGCTGGTTGCCTTAAATGTTTAACCTGAATCAAATTAACCTTACGAGTCCATTGGACTTATATTATAATAAACTGACTTAAAATAGCGTGTGCAACTTATAAAATTAAGTTAGAACATGATTAACTTGATTTAATAAGTTACAATAAACTAAAAGCATATGCTGTCATGACTAACTTACCATATAATGTTTTACAGAGTACAAATAAAGACCAATAAGCTTCGATTTAATAGAATAAATACATTATTAAAATTATGTGAGAGTTATTTTTTATTTAATGCATTACATACAGTCATTTTACAGTTTAAAAAATGTATTCAAAGAAGCATAAGCGCAAAAAGTATAATGTAGAGTTCGAAAAACGCCCAAAATAAGCGAATTTATTTACAGTCAAATGCTAAGTTAAAAACACCATAATCAGGGCTGTAGCCGGGGGGCATTCGGACGACCCACCCCTCACTGAAAAAGGTTCAGAATTTGTCCCAAACATTAGCTCATAAGTCTTATTTTGTCTGCCATGCCATCATAAATAGTAAAATAACCCATCGAATCAATTTTGGCCAATGCAAACTATTTTTTTCATGAGTCCAACACGTGCAAGAAAACATCTGACATAATCAAGGTCATCTTTTGCTACTGTGTTGTATTTAAAAAGAGAAAGGTTTTGACGAGTAACTTTTAGTCTAAATCTTGGACTTTTTTTAAAAAAGAAAACACGACCAATAAAAAAACATTTACAGGAGAAGCTAGAAATATTGTGAAGCAGTAAATTATTCTTGTTGTTGTCATTATTATGTTTTTTTATTATTATTCAAATGGCCGAATTCTGAATGAGGAAAGTTGAGTTTGCTGTTTGTTATTAGCCTAATAATTGATATAGGCAACAGTTTTTAATTTAAACTATTTTTCTAATGATATTTGATTTAGTAAATTTGTATTTTAAAATAAATAAATGACATATTTTTTCTTTATGCTAAATATTTAGGAAATATTTTTGTTACATGATGTGTGGTTATGATGACCATCCGACAAGCTAATCCAGCTAAAACTAGTGCTTAAAGTGTCACTACGCTGTAAAATAAATATGGTAAATTATTAATGACTGCATATATGTTCTCAGTTTATTGTAACTTGTTAAACTAAAGTTAATCATGCTTTAATTTAATTTTATAAGTTACGCAAGCTGTTTAAAGTAAATTTATTATAATGCAAGTTCAATGGACTCGTAACGTTAATTTGATCCAACTTAAAAAAAAGGCAACCATAATTCTTTTACAGTGTAATGGAGTATTTAAATGTCATAATTACATAAAAATGAGGCGTAAAACTGCAATAAGGTTTTAAAAAAAGAACCATCCCTTTCACCAGGCTGCCTACAGGCCTGATATAGTATGATATAATAATCTTTTATAAAGTTTTATGTTAAGATTTGTAACTCGAATCTCAGATTTAAAGCGACAATCTGCTAAATATTGAAGCTCGGTTGGTCTCAACATCGCTAATTCAATTTACAACAAATTAGAATATGATTTAATATTTATGTCGTTCATTTTCCTTCGGATTATAGTGCCCTTATTCATCAGGGGTCGCCACAGCGGAATGAACCGCCCAAATATTTATTTTTTTAAATACTTTATCTACTTATGGTCACAATAGTGGGTGGCGCTCATGACTTCAGCAGCTTATTGATGTTTAATTGTTATGTTACAGACACACACACACTGTAAACCCAAAATGTTGTCTTTACTTAAACAATCAAGCAAAGTTGACTGAAGATTACTTAAAATTTAGCATTTCGGTCACGTCACCTGAAAATATGAGCTAATTTAACTTGTATACAATGAAAATGCATAAACTTAAGATTTTAAGTATAGTAAGCTCAAAATCACAATTAAAAGTGTCCAATAAATGTAAATATAACTGTAAATGTAATCCTTGAAAACAAAAAAAATAGGCAGTTTTTAATGTCGTCTTGATTGTAAAACTCTAATATGTGCAACCTTTTTAGCAAGGTCTCTTTTTAATCAGAAAACAAGGCGCCATGTATAATTATTCACCATAATGGGAATAAATGTCTACTTATTTTTCTTTTAAACATTTTTTTTCATGGTATATAACCACACACACACACAGACATACGCTGAACTAAACAATTTAAATATAATTACCAAACCGGCAAGT